CACACACACACACTATATGGTGGTTTCTGGGGGGTGATGGTTCAGGGCTGATAGGGGTTTGAATGGCGCCCTCTGCTGGCCTGTGCCTCTGAACGGGGATCAGACCGGTGTGTTTCTGCCGTCTCCTCCAGGTGGCGCTGCTGGGCCTGGACCTCCTCTCTGCACTGGTGACGCGGTTACAGGACAGATTCAGGGCCCAGGTGGGAACAGGTAAGGGACCAGCCTTTGTTTTGTGGGGGTGATGGAGCTCTGAGTCCTCCACAGCTGGCTGGTTGAAGTGGGCCTTTGCCCCGAGCTTCCAGCTGTAATGGAGAAGGTCTGAGGAGGTCTGAGGAGGTCTGAGAGGCCTCCAGCCTCGTCTTCCCCATGTCACAGTATCTGTACCTGTGATGCTCTGTCAGCTGCTTTTCAAAAATATAGTTTCTTCCTCAGTGCTGCCGAGCCTGATCGACCGACTGGGAGATGCCAAAGACCAAGTCCGAGACCAGGACCAGGCTCTGCTTCTGAAGATCATGGAGCAGGCCGCCTCTCCGCAGGTACCAGCCTAAAGCTGGAGCTCCTCGTTTCCAACTGAAGAGATGAATGCTATCAGATGCCAACAGGCTGGCAGAAGCCCTCAGGCTGCCCGCCTGATGGGGCATTAAGCCTTCACCTATGCAGGCCAACAGTAGCTAGCTGGATAGTTTGTCAAGCTAGCTACTGTTAGCCCTGTTGTTAGCTACTGTTAGCCTTGTTGTTAGCTACTGTTAGCCTTGTTGTTAGCCTTGTTGCTACTATTAGCCTTGTTGTTAGCTACTGTTAGCCTTGTTCTTAATTGTGTTGCCATGTCCAGTCCTCTCTGGGCCCCAGTCCTCCAGGTTTTAGACATTTTCCTGCTTCTGGACCTCTGCTTCTGATTAAACTGGTTCTCCTCTGGACATAGCTGAGCTTTGCTAACGGCTCTTTGATGTGAATCAGCTGTGTGGAAACAGGGAAACCTCTAAAAGGCCCAAAGAGGACTGGAGTCTGAGACTCCTGCATCATCATGTACTGACTGAGAGTAAACTGTGCTGGCTAATGGAAACAGGGGCCATGGAGCCGTGGTTAGCTGCCCTGGCTCCAGCTCTCTGTTCAGAACGGGCATGTTAACTGTGCTTGTGTGTCTCTGTTCTGCTGCAGTACATCTGGGACAGAATGCTGGGCGGCTTCAAACACAAAAACAACCGGACCAGAGAGGGCGTGTGCCTCTGTCTCATCTCCACGCTCAACACGTGAGCCCCGCTTTCCTCATTACTATCTTTTCTTTAGCACTGTAAGCTAACGTACAGCTCCTTGGACGTCCTCCTGGTTCACACCTGTTTGTCGGGCCTGTTTCTTCCAGGTACGGGGCCCAGGGCCTGACCCTAAGCAAGATAGTTCCTCACATATGTAACCTCCTGGGGGACCCCACCAGCCAGGTAAAGTCCCCCCAGTCCTCCTAATGATGCCTGCCAGGCCCCCGTTGGCCACAGCCTCTCAGTGCTTTTTCTTTCTTTTTCTTCCTTGCACGTCACACAAGATGAAATGTTTAGCTCTGTTTAGCTCTGCCCGCCCCCTGCTGGCAGGCCCGGGAACAGCACCTCCAGCCTGAGAAAAAGAGTGGATACGAGCAGTGGTCCCCAACCTTTATAACAATTTGATGACGGACCCGAGGGGGTTGTTTATATAGTGAACCAGTGACCAGTGGTCCCGGACCACCGGGGAGGGGGGGGTTATATTATGAATATGATAATGAAGGTGAATCCACTTGGTACTGGTATCCAGCTTTATTTCTCCTTGCTAAATCCTCCAGGTCTTGCCTTCTAATCCAGATGTGAAGCTGTTTGAAGCTTCATCGCCTCATCAGAGAGCCGCTCACCGCTTATATTATAAATATATATTATATATGAATTATTAGTCGCAATTGATCCATGTTTCCAGTAGAACTCCTGATTTTTTTCTGTTAAAAGCTTTTATTTTCCTGGAAGCTGTTTTCTTCCTCCGTCTCTTCTTTGGGCCTTTTCCCTTCCAAAAGAAACTTTCCAAAGACGTCTGTTTTCTACTAATTTTTCTAAATTGTGGGTTAAATTTTTGGAGGATCTGCTGCACAGAGATCCCAGAGTGGTGACTGTAAACCGGCCTGTGTGGTGCTGTGGTCCTCAGGTACGAGACGGAGCCATGAGCTGCCTGGTGGAGATCTACAGACACGTGGGGGAGCGGGTGAGGCTGGACCTCAGCAAGAAAGGCCTGCCACAGTCCCGGTAACGTCTCACTGCATTAGCATTAGCATCTCTGCCCCACAGCTCTGAGTCCTAACCATTAAGACGACCATGTTAATGTGAAGCTGTCAGTAAAATGTCAGCTGTGTGGGATTATCTGATCCTTAAAGAGGAAAAAGACCAAGAGCTGGATGTAAAACATGCCACAATAAAGTTAAGCGTGGTGGTAAAGCTGGAAGAAACTTTAATACAACCAATCTAATCAAGCATTTAGAGAAATACCACCATAAACAACATGAAGAGTTTCTAAAGAAAACCGTTAGTTTTCTATAATTTGGTCTATTTAGTGTTTGTCCCTGAATAAACAGCTCAGTGTCTCTTTACCAACCAGTGTGTGTTATTCAGACTCCCCTAACTCAGCTGCTAGTTGTTATCAGAGTAAATCCCTGTTCAACAGGAGTCTGACAATAAGGAAGTAGATAAGTAACTTTAGACTTTAGGGCATGCTCTGATAGGCCGAGATCGGTATCAAAAAGCTGGATCAGGACGTCCCTAATTTAGACTTTACAAATGAAAAGTTACTGAAACTAAATGGTGACATTAGAGCTGTTTCTGTTGCAGGTTGTTCATAGTAGGGTTTCTTCTTCAAACATCAACCTAAACTTTGAAAATCATAATTATGGAGCCACAAAGGAGTTATTTGTCAGGGCAGTATTTCCACATTCTCCCAGTTCCTGTGTGGGTTTTCCAGTTCCTCCCCAGTTTCTCTGGTCTTTTGTTCCTAGATGTGATGACTCTGTTTTCATTTGTGCTTTCTTCTCATATGTGTTGTCACATCTGTAGATTTCTGTCTTTGTTTGAATCTTTCTTGCTCTTTGTTTGCTTCATAGGTTAAATGTGATCTTCAGCAAGTTTGACGAAGTCCAGAGGTCTGGAAACATGATCCCGTCCTCTGGCTCTGGTAGGTCCTCCGTCCAGCCGGACCCAGCTGAGTCCTCACTGTCCTGCAGACTGTTTCCTCTGCTTTGCCACATCTGTCTCAGTCCTGATGAGTGTGCTGGCTCTTCTCCATGTTTTTGCTGTGAGCCGGGTTGAGGACCGGTGGGGAGGAGAGCCTGGTTTAGAGGAGCTGGGCTTCCAGGGGGGCTTTCCCTAACCAAAAAATATTTATTTCTCACTATTATGAAGGCTGGAGGGATAGGATTAGGGTTAGGGTCATTAATGTGGGCCACCAGTCACAATAACATCAGTAACAGGTCAGTTTGAAATGAAAGACACAATTCAGTTAAATTTTAGATTCTTTGTTTTTATCCTTGTGGTATCGAAAATGGTATCGAGTATCGAGTATTTTCCTGAGTATCGGTATCGAGTTGAAAATTTTAGTATCGTGACAACCCTAGTTCTTGGTAGATCATCTCCATGGTCAGATCTGTGGGTCGGCCTCTCTTTAAAGACGGCTCCTGTGTGGAATCCACCACCACAGATGACAAGTTGCCGGGTTCGAAATTCGTGGGAATCTGGTGTTAGCCCTGACATGGACCAGGGTGTGTCACTGAGTGATGTGGATACAATAATTAATAAAAAAGAGAAGATTAATATGTTATATCTTTTTTTATTTTCATGTGATACAATGCTCAAGCAGACTAAATCTGAATATTTCTTGGTATCCTGGCCTTCATATTGGTAAACCACCACCCAGAAAACGGTCTGTCAGCAGATCTCCTGGAACGCTGTGGTCTCTGTGCTATAATATGATATTATTAAACACGTTTTCAGCTCCTCTCCACGTCATGCCTCCAACGATTTCATAGAAATGATGATAAACTGCAGGATAACATGGAGGACGATGGATTTCAAACTAAAACGTTTTTTAAAATATTTTTTTGTTGATTCCCTGTTTATTTAGAATATACATGATATAAAAACGGAGCTCAGCACGACGGGCTGACAGCCTCTGATTTTCTCACAGCGGACAATAAAGGTGGATTGGTCATTTCGGACCCTGCAAATTGCCTCGGATTGAACCCATTTATTAAACGTGTCTTTTTGTTTGACGTGCCCAGTGTTTCTGTAGAGATGGAGGGATTACGTAATGCAGAATAACACAGTGACTTTAAGGAAATACGCCACTTTTTAAACAGAAAGTTCATCTTCTCTGTGAGAGAGGGAGGCAACGAGAGACTGAGGGAGGGGGGGCGGGGAGAGATAGAGGCATGGAGAGGGAATGGCAGCGGAGGGATGGGAGGACGGAGGGCAGAAGGAAGCTCTGTGTAGCAGCAGCCAGAGACAGAGAGTGTCTGGAGGGATTGTGGGCTGGGAGAGCTGAGCTGCAGCATTTCTCTGCTGGTCATGACGGCCGGAGACGGTAAGGCTGCCTCCAGACGCCTCCGAGTGCTTGTTTTGGGCTGAGAAAAGGGAAGCGGTAGCCCCCCTGTTTCTTCTCCAGCCTGCTCTGATCCTGTCTTAGAGTTTATTAAAGCTGGTCAGTGCAGGGGGAGGAGGAGGTTCATCAGTTTACTGAGTGGAGCTTTTCTCTGGATTTCACAGCAGGATTTTCAGGCTGATGATTTAGCATTCTTCTCTATTTAGTCGTTTCCTTTTCGATACTTTCATCTGTTCATTTACGTCTCAGGGACGGGATTCGCTCATCAGCATGTTTTAGTTTGACTTATTATGCATTTATTGAGGTTATGTAACATGGCTATCCTCAGAAATCCTTTCATATGTGCGTTATTTCCCACTAAGTACATGCCTATACACCTACATCTAACTTCTGTAGCAGACAAATGTAAGAAGCTGATCCTCCGTCTTTCCTCATTTTAAACATTTAGGGGGCTTTTTCAGATCTTTCTTGACGTGATCAGTCACCTCTAAACGTTCTGCTCCAGCCACAAGCCCAAAAGGGGCAGACGACTCACCCCAGGCATCAGCCTCAACCGGATCAGATGAAGTGAACTAGCAAATAGTCCAGATTATTATCAGATACTCTGGCCTTATTTAAGCTATCGCTAACATGGTTGAACCTAACTAAGAGTTTGAAACCCAGACTGTTACTGGACCAGAAGTAAAACATGTCCTAGCATAGATTTTCTGTGTATAACCGTACTGAGGGGAAGATTTGGGAACATAGGTTTAAAGATGATTAGCTGTTAGCGGCCGCCCAGTTTAGCTGCTGCAGAACAGCTGAGCTTGGTTAGCATCTACCTGTCAAGTTTCTGCTGCTGATGGGGCTGTCTGGGTCCGCATGGGCCCCTTTATAGCGGCTCAATGCATAATGCAGGCCGCAGCTTCAAATGGAGATTATTCAGAATCCCTCAAACCACCAACAAACTGAACATCAGCAAATAGTTGGACAACACTGAATCAGCCAGTGAGATCTTTTTCAAGACAAATCAGCTTTTGTAATTGGCTGTTTTCCCAAGGCTTGTGGTGCATATTTGTGTGTGTGTTTGTGTGCACAAGCCCACTTCAGTGTCCTCGATTCCTCTGATTGCTGTTGCATAAACGCTGCAGATACTGCTGGCCTGTCTTCTCCCCAGCCGAGCTGTGAAGGGCAGCAAACTGAGAGCTCCAGCAGGGGCCTCCAGGCCCAGCTCATGCGGGCCCCTCTGTAAACCGGGCGGTCCCCGGCAGGACGGGAGGCCCCTGGAGCCTCACACAGGTCCCCGTGTGGAGGGCAGCGCTGTTTGCTGGGAGCCTGTGCTGCTTTTTTTGGAGTGCATCAGCTGCTTTTGGCTGCTGCACGACGCGGAGGAGGCTGAACCACAGAGGAAAAGCTTTTCTATATTTGTCGTTTTACATAATTCTGAGCATTTCTTTGTCTTGTCCTTCTACTCCAGTTGTAGAATACATGGTTTAGAGTTCAGTGTGTTCGTAATAAAGCAGTAAATGATCAGGTTATTCTATTTTAAGCTGCCAAAAAAAGCTTAAAATAGCTATTTATGTTGGATCTGTTGTGTGGGTGTTTAGATGTACAGCCCATATTGTGCCTGCTGCTTCCTCTGCAGACTCAAACCCCACAGACGCATAGTCCCTCTATTATTTATGAGTCCACATACACCAGGGACTGTGTGAGGGGTTGGGGGACATTTCATGCTACAAAGAGAGATAGAAATGATCAGAGACAAGTAGGTCATCATACTGAATGACAGGATTGTCTTCTGGTGCTCTCTGCCAACACAAATGAGTGAGTAGCCTTTCTGTCTGTAACGGGGGTTAAAGGGAGTCTTTGCTGGGCCCCTGTGGCTGGAAACAGGCTTATCCACCCTGAGGGAATATCTGTTAAAAACCGGAAAAAAACGTGACAAAGTGAGACCCAGTGGGAGTGGGCTGTGGTGCTGTTGGCTGGGACATCGAATAAAGAGAACTAGGACCAGTAATAATCAGAATTTTATTCACTAATGATTTCAGACATTTTTCTATGTCATGAGAATACTAGCCCAACTTAAGACACTTCAATTAGACTTTAGTTATCGTATTTTCCACACTATAAGCCGCACTGGATTATAAGGCTCATAGAGTTGAGGCTACAGTAGAGGTTTGGGCTGCGTTAGCATCCACCAGAAGGTCAGCTGACAGTCAGATGACCAGCTTTTCCCGTAAAAAACAAACAAAACCGCCGGTACAGAATTATTTTAACCAACTGTTGTTGTAGTTAAGATCTCTGTGGGTTTCCCATAAGTCAGCTGGGGGAGGAAATTATCAGCTAGCTGGCAGCCTGACACTGGCAGCATGGCACATCAATGCTGTGCCTCTTTTCCTGGTTACTTAGCTTCAGTATGAAGTCTGACGGACACAGACAGCCTGTTGTCTTCAGATGAACTAGCCTATTGTCTCTACATGTTTATGTGGGCACTGACTATATGTTCCTGAGACAATAGACTCGTTTTGAATATCTGGTCATCAGACACTTTTGTGACTTTCATTCTGTAGAAATCACAATGATTCTGATCAGACAAAATTAATAAAAGATGGCGTTTGAAGCCCTGCTAACACGCTAACAGGTGTTGTTTCCTGTGGTCTGGAACTAGCTGACAGCACCACAGAATCGCAGAGTTTAAAATCTCTGAGCACCTAAAATTTCAGTCCAACTCCAGCCAAAAAGAATCCAATTAGTTGTCACACAATCTTAAACCAATCATCTTCCATTGGTTAATTTCCAGGTCAATCCAAAACATGCAGAGACATTTAAAAATATTCTCAGCTAAGAAACTCTTCCCCTCAGTCCAGTGCTCCATCCTGGGCCCATAGAGGGAGGAGAGGTGCATCATGGGAGCCCCCCAGCAGAACTATGGGGGGTTTCAGGGTCCCTGAGCATCTGTAACTATCAGCCTTTCTTAGCATTTCCCAGGATTCCAACATCCATCCTGGTTTTGGGCTGCACTGGACCAGAATCAGGATTTTATTAGAGCAGAGCGACAGAAATGCTGGAGGTGACGGTCAGCTTCCACCTGGTCTGAATGTTGTCCACTCATGGAGGGGGGCTGATGCTCTCTGATTCAGGTCAGTGGCCACCACAGCCAGTCAGAGCCCCCCCCCCAGACATGAGGAGGACACACTGTTCATACAGCTGCTGACATTTCGCTGAGTCGGCGCTTCCACACTGAGCATGTCAGAACACATGCACCTCAGGTTAGAGTGCAGTCCGAGTCAGTGAACGTTCTGCCAGATGTCCAGCATCTGAAGGGGGTAGAGTTTTTATCGGGTGGGATGTACAGTCCTTATTGGACTCACTAATGACCAGTCAGGGAAGAAATAACCCCCCAGGAGACGGCCAGGTTAGACTGACTGGACCAGTGGAGAAAATGGGTCCTTGGAGATATCCAACTCTTGGATCTGGATCTGGTCCAACACCCAGATCTCATCTGGTGCAACACCTGGATCTCATCTGACACCTGGATCCTGGATCTGGTCTGAGACCTGGATCCTGGCTCTGGTCCGACTCCTGGATCTGGTCCGACACCCGAATCTGGTCCGATCCCTGGATCCTGGATCTGGTTCGACCCCTAGACCTGGTCTGAAACCTGGATCTGGTCCAGCACCTGTATCTTGTCTGACCCCTGAATCCTGGATCTGGTCTGACCCCTGGATCTGGCAGAGAGAAGGTGGAGGACATCCGTGAGTCCAAGCCTTGCCTCAGGCTCCAGCAGGCTGTGCTGTGTGGCTGTCCTGGAGTTTGCTGCCACCTAGTGAGCACTAAGGGAAGGACGGGCGTTAATGCTGAATCACTGGCATGGCCGTCGTGCTGTGCAGCTCTATCTGGGACTGGGTGGAAGCTGTTTCTGCTCATGAGCATGGGAGGGAGACACTGTACCTGAGACTTCTGAGCTGGTTTTGTGATCTTGTTCTGACACTTTCCAACTGGCCTCTTTAAATCTACACTTAGAAGTGAAGAATAAGGGATTGAATAACTATTTTTAATTCAGTGAAACAGAAACATATCAAATCTTGAAACATTGGGTCTCAGTCTGTAACATCTGGATCTGAGGAGAGGGTTCTGGTTCTGGTTGTTCTGCAGTCCTTCTTCTTTGTTGGATTTAAAATGTCCTCAGGTGGTGAAACGTGTGGACTACCGGCTCTTATGGGGACTTTAAGTCTTATGCTGGAATGAACACTGCTCCCTACTCTAGTTGTGTTTATTTTCACCTTTGTATTACAGCTGTTGCACAGCAGGATGAATAAAGCCTTTTGAGTCTTTACTGACATGGGGGTCAGGGCTGTGTCCCTGCTGACCCGGCTAGCTTTCGGCTAGCAGACAGGAGGCTCTCTGGCACAGATTTGGCTCATAATGCAGTGAGCAGGTGAAATGGAGCTGGGATCTGTGAGGCTTTGAAAGCTGCTTCATAGCATAATGAGCTAAAGAGATGCTAGGGGCTGTAAAACTCCTTTCCTGGCCTCCCAGGCTGAATGAAAAAGGATGCTTCTGGGCTGATAGTGTGGCCCTATGACCATTTCTTAAAAAGGGCTGCTTAAACTAAAGGTTTACCCTTAATACATTTTCTTGATGCTAATTCTTTGGTTTCCTTTATTTGCGTGTGATAACTGACATCCATTTAACCGAACGTCTCTTAATGCAGGATGACTTAATTTAGCTTTGAGGTGTTGCAGTCATCGGGTGGATCCCAGTTTACGGCTCAAAGTGAGTGACTCAGGGAAATAAGAAGGCTCAGCTAGCAGATGACAAGCTCTGTGAGCCGTTTTGAGTCAGAGGGAAAGCAAAAGGCTTTCAAAGATTGAATGAGGGGAGACAAACTGAGCAGAATCCAGCTGGCTAACAGAGTCCACACATGCTGTGGTGTTTGGGACGTATTTGGGTGGTGTTGGGGTGTTGTTTTGGTGGTGTTGGGGTAGTTAGGTGGTGTTTGGGACGTGTTGGGCTGGTATTCGGGTGGTGTTGGGGTGGTGTATGGGTGGTCTTTTGGACGTGTTGGGGTGGTGTGGGGCTGGTGTTTGGGTGTTGTTTGGGTGGTGTTTAGGATTTAACACCATTAATACCCCTATTAACACATGAGGGGAACCCCATGGCATCCAATCCGTGTAGGGGTGGTGTTTGGGTCGTGTTGGGGTGGGTTTTAGGTGGTATTTGGGTGGTATTTGGCTGGTGTTTGGGTGGGGCTCCTGGAACAGAGCCCTCCCCCCTCTCTCGTCATCGATAGCAGCATCCCAGCTGGGGCTCATCTGGCTCAGCCACTGAGCAGCTAGCTCCTGATTCAGAAGCAGCTCAGACATGCTGAGGAGGCTGGTCTGCAGGAAGATCTGCGCTCGTAAGAAAGAAGATGCTGTCCCCCCCCTCTCTCCCTTCTCTCTGCCCCCCCCCCCCCCCCCCCTGGATCCTGCCTCCCCTCTCCCCCCGTTTCTCCCCTCTGTGTGGCTCTCGGCTAGTCTTTTGCAGAGTCATGGTGATGAGGGCAGAGTGCTTCTTTGCTAACCTGCTAGCAGCTCCAGCTAACGGCTTCTTCCATCCCAACAGGCTAACGGCCTCAGCCTGTGTCCTGACCTCTTATTATTCACCTCAGATCAGAGCTTATTGATCGTATCTGATCCCTCCTATTACCCAGAGAGAGCTCAGCCCTGGGGGGGGCAGAGAGCTTTGATTTGGTCCTCACTCACCTCCCAGTTCTTCCTCTTCATCCCTCTTTTTCTTCCTTCTCTTCTGTCCTTTACAGATAAGAACTTTGAGGATGAGGACTCTGTGGATGGAGGCAGGTCCTCCTCCTCCTCCTCCTCCAAAGCGCCCCCTGGTGGACGGAGGACTGTGATGAGCTCTGTGAGACGACCCAGCTCTGCCTCCTCTACCAAGATCACAGGTGAGGGGGGGGCTGCCTGGGAGCCTGGGGGGTCAGACAGAGCTCCAGGTGGATGAGCTCACACAGCTTTGTCTCTGTAGGGAAAGAGGCAGCAGCTGGTGCTGTGGACGAGGAGGACTTCATCAAGGCCTTTGAGGACGTGCCGTCTGTCCAGGCATGTTTGGGAGATTAGTGTCGTTCTCCAGGAGGCAAAAACAGGAACTAAATGCTTTTCGCTTCACAAGAAATGAGGCTGCTGGACTCCCAGAAAGTCCCACTGACGCATACCTGTGCTAAGCTTAGCTCTCTAACACAGCAGGACAACGGACAGGACTTTATTTATTTATTGTTCTTAACCCCATGTGGTGTTCAGCATTATGGCAACAGAATAGCTCTGCCCCACACTTTGGCATCCAATACTGCTTTATTATTTATTTAAGATGTATTTTTGGTACAGAAGTAAACAGTTAATGCCAAACCTGACAGGGGGACAGGAAAAGAGATAAAAAATGAAGAAAAAAGGGAAAGGGAAAAAAGGGAATAATACATAAAATAAAATTTAAAAAAGGAAGAGAGAATAAAGAAAAGATAACAATAATCCGCACCAAAAAGGAGAGAGATCCTTAAAACAGGAATAGAGAAAAAAAGAAAGAAAAATGAATAGATAAATAAAATTTAAAAAAGGAAGAGAGAATAGAGAAAAGGTAAGAGTAACCAAAAAGAAGAGAGATCCTTAAAACAGGAAGAGAGCAAAAAAGAAAGAAAAAAGGAAATAAATAAATAAAAAATTTTAAATGAAGAGAGAATAAAGAAATGGTAAGAATAACCCTCGCCGAAAATAATAGAGATCCTTAAAACAGGAAGAGAAATAAAGGAAAGAAAGAAAGAAAGAACATTTAAAAAAGGAAGAGAAAACAGGTTGAGAGAAAAAAATAAAGGAAAAAGAAGAAAGGAAATAAATACCATTTTAAAAAGGAAGAGAGAATAGAGAAAAAGTAACAATAATCCGCACCGAAAAGGAGAGATCCTTAAAACAGGAAGAGAGGAAAAAAAGACAGCAAAACCCTGCATCCAGCTGCTGTATCTGTAGAAAATGTCCTGTAGTCACCGTGGGCAAACCCGAGGGAGAAGCTGACCCTGCCTCCCCGTCTCTGCTTCCACAGATCTACTCCAACAGGGACTTGGAGGATCAGCTGACCAAGATCAAAGAGGTTCTGTCTGATGACAAACACGACTGGGAGCACCGGGTGGTGGCCGTAAGTCTTCTGTTTCCTTCTGCTGGACCTCTCAGCCCAGCTCAGACTGATTCCCGTTTTCTTCCCCCTCCAGCTGAAGAAGGTGCGTTCCATCATGCTGGCGGGGGCGGCCCAGTACGAGGGCTTCCCCCAGCAGCTGCGCCTCCTGGAGCCGGCCTTCAAGCTGTCGGCCAAAGACCTGCGCTCCCAGGTGGTGCGGGAGGCCTGCATCACTCTAGGGTGAGCACCTCCTCCTGTCCTTCAACTGTTTCAGTTCAGTTTTATTTCTGGAGCTCCAGATCCCAACAGCAGCAGCTATCTGACAGCTCTCCAACCAGAGCAGCTCACACTCTGAGTTATTCACAGAAGAACTACAGTTCCACCAAGAGCAGCACTAGGAGACACAGGGAGGAAACAACTGCCTTTAGGAGGAAGATTATAAAGAGGTCAAAGAGCAGAGTTTAAACAAGCTACCATGACAGATAGAAATACAACTGACAATATAAAAAGAGTATATCTAGTACAAAAGAGCATATGAGAAGTTGTAATGTCCTGAAATCTTTTTCCTTTAGATATAAGATATGTGCACAGTAAGGAAAGACTACACAGTAGCTGACTTGGATTATTGCACTTGTACTGCAGACATGTACGGTCCTTATAGATAAGTTAAAAAAACACAGGAGACACCGACCTGTTTATTCAAGGAAAAAACACACAATAGACCAAATTATAGATAACTAATGGAAATGGGATCGGATCCAGATATCGGATCAGGACCGGCCTAGTCCTGACCATTACCTTCTAAACCCAGCCAGTGGTTATCAGTCTTCTTGTGTTTTGGAAGATAGTCCTGCTCAGAAACGTCTCTAATGGGACCCTCTGGCAGCAGTGACATTAACTCTGATCTGTGACTGATTGGGTTATTTTTCTAATACTTCAGCTAATGAGAAGTAGCCTTACTGGGGTATGAAACAAGCAGGCTGCTCTCCACATAGAAACATTTGTCATCCCACCCTGATGAGGTGGAACAGAGCAGAGTTACATTTAAAGAGCAGGAAGCTGATGGATGGATTAAAGTCAACCCTGATGTCATCACCCCACCGGAGTCTTTTAGTTAAAAAAGTGTGTTCAGTTGGGACTCTTCCAGACAAACCCTTTTCAGAAATGGGTTTTCAAAGCTGCTGGGGTTCCTTTAAAGCTGACCTCCTAAAATCAAATTTAAAAAATAAATAGATAAATATATAAATAAAAAAATAGAAATAAGAACAACGATAAATAAAATAATTTAAAAAAAAACTCACCTCCTAAAATAGAATAAATAAAAATAAGAAATAGAAAAATAAATAAATGTAAAATAAATAATATTAATAATACATTTAAAAAAATAAAATAATAATAAGAAGAAGAAATACAAATATAAAAATGGATTAAAAATACATTTAAAAAATATAATAATAATAATGAATAATAAAAATAACTGACCTCCTGTCCGGCTGGGGGGTTTTCTGGCTGAGTCTGCACAGCCTCTGTGCTCATCTTCTGCTGTGCCGCTGTGTCTCTTGTAGACATTTGTCATCGATTCTGGGCAACAAGTTCGACCACGGAGCGGAGAGCGTCATGCCCATCCTGCTCAACCTGGTGCCCAACAGTGCCAAGGTTATGGCCACGTCCGGGATGGCTGCCATCCGCATCATCCTCAGGGTGAGAGCTCTGCCCGTGGGCCTTTACCCCCACAGCCTCACAGCCAGCTAAGTGTTCACCTGAGCCCTCTCTTCCAGCACACGCACTACCCCCGCCTCATCCCCATCATCAGCAGCAACTGCACCTCCAAGTCGGTGGCAGTCAGAAGGTAAGGACCCCAGTGTTCTCCATTTAAAAGACAAACCCCAGCAGGAGCCATTGGGCTGTACATTAGGGTGGCCATGTTCTGATTCCCAAAAAGAGGACACTCTGCCTCCAGATGGATCCATACCGGCTTCTCAGATGTTCATGAACAGGCTTTATTAGACCTCAATGGGACAAAAATAACTTTGGTAGTAAAACACAATCTGTAACAACCAGGAACAGAATGATAAAATACAGAAATACAATAAAAAAAAAAGTTCTAAATATTACCTCTTCTAGATTAAAAAATACAGCTTCAACTAAATCCCTCTAAATCCCATCAGAATGGAAGAAAGGAACAAAATGAACAAACAAAAAGGACCTAGACTAAGTTTAGATCCTTTTAGTATCTAGTTTAGATCCTTTTTGTATCAATACACTAAGTTTAGATCCTTTTTGTATCTAGTTTAGATCCTTTTTGTATCAATACACTAAGTTTAGATCCTTTTTGTATCTAGTCCCATTGTATCTAGCTTGTTTTGGTCCCGTGAAAAACAGAGAAAACCGGATATTTTCATGAATTTCTAACCCCCCCCCCGACACCCCGGACAGGAAGTAAAAAGCTGCCTCTGATTGGCTCCTCATGAGCTGCTCCTCTCTTCCAGACGCTGTTATGAGTTCCTGGATCTCATGCTGCAGGAGTGGCACACCAACACCCTGGAGAGGTAAGCTCAGCCCAGCTGCCCCCCCCCCCCCTCAGACAGGGGTTGCCCCAACCCCCTTCTGACATTTGAGTTTGCTAAGCTTTGGCTCGGTGAGCGACTGATGAGCCCCATTAAATTGATGAGTCCTACGGGGACATCCCATCTCTGTAGCCATGACGACAGCTGTGGAGACTTTAAAAAGAGTTTGAAAAAGGCAGACTGCAGATCTGTGTGGAAACAGGCAGGAGCCGGTCACCCCTCTGGTCCTCACCATGCTCCCCTGCTCTTGCAGGCACGTTGCTGTTCTGACAGAGACCATCAAGAAAGGCATCCACGACGCGGACTCTGAGGCCCGGTCTATCGCCAGGAAGTAAGTCTGGCTTTCCTCGTTAGGGCGTTCCCAGCCCTGAATCTGTGCAGGGTTAGAAATGAGTGGGAATCTGGTGTTAGCTAGCAGGTAAAACCAAAAGTAGCCAGCCCTGATTTAGTTGTATCAAGGCCAGGGTGTGTTATGATGTCACTGAATTATGTGGATATAAGAATTAATGGAAAAGATTCATAGGTTTATTTTTTTTTTATTTTCATGTGATACAATGGCTGAGATTTGTGACATTGAACACAGATCAGATGTGATCAGAAACTTATTGAACAGTCACGAACATTTCATCCTAAATCTGAATATTTGTTGGTAGCCTGGCGTTCATATTGGTAACTCACCACCCAGTAAAGCAGATCTCCTGGAACACTGTGCTATAATATGATATTGTTAAACATGTTTTCAGCTCCTCTCCACGTCATGCCTCCAATGATTTCATAGAAATTATGATAAACTGCAGGATAACATGGAGGACGATGGATTTCACACAAAAACGTTGTTTTTGTTGTTATTTTTATTTATTTTTTTGTTGATTCCCTGTTTATTTGGCATGTATTTGATATAAAAACTTCCACCCTGCCTCTGACTGTGTGCTTCCTGCCCCTTCCTGTAGGTGCTACTGGGGTTTCCATGGCCACTGCAGCCGGGAGGCGGAGCATCTGTTCCAGGCCCTGGAATCCACCTACCAGAAAGCCCTCCAGTCCCACCTGAAAAGCTCCGACAGCATCGTGTCTCTACCCCAGTCCGACCGCTCCTCTTCCTCCTCCCAAGAGAGTCTGAAGTAAGAACCCATGAAATCAAAGTGTTTTATCTCAGAGAGTCAGGAAGAAGTCAGGACTTACTGCAGATGGTTCTGAGTGTCCGTCCCTCTCTCCTTTCAGCCGGCCTTTCTCTGTGAAGAGCGTTATTGGAGGCAGCATTAGCAGGGGTAAGTCTCTGTCTGCATCATGTCCCGTTTGTCCTCTGTAATCAGTTCAGTTTTATCCAGGATCCAGACCCACGCGGTCCCGGGGCCCAGTCTGTGTCTAAGGATAAGCTGAGCCGGTGTTGGATACAATGGTTTTTGGTGTTATATGAGAGGTAACCTTCAGTAGTAGAGGGAGAGAAGAGCCGTCCAATCAGGTTTGAGGGTATTTTTGACCGATTTGATTTGGTCAGAGGTCTGGGTTTGATGTGTGGTATAACGTAGGCACTTTGTTTGTCTTTGGTTTTGTTTTGTTTATCTTTTTTGTTGTTGTTTACTTCCATTATATTTCGGTTTGTGTGTTGTTGGTTCTTTGATATATTCAAAAGGGACAGAAACCAGATTTTTCTGGATTTCATTGATTTGTGTGTTTATCTGTCAGTCAAAAAGACTAATAAAAACAGGGCGGTGCACGGTGGGCTTTCAGGGACCTCCAGCTGTAGCTGTGGCTGGCCTCTGGGGGATGGCTGACCTGTGCTTTGTGCTCCAGGTAAGCTGCTGAGCAGCCGGGCCCCCACAGCCTCGGGCTCCCTGCAGCGCTCCCGCAGCGACATAGACGTCAACGCAGCCTCCAGCGCCAAGTCCCGGCTGTCCAGCGTCCCGGCCTCCTCCCCCTTCAGCTCCGCCTCCGCCCTGCCTCCAGGATCCTACGCCTCCCTAGGTAACCCCCCAGCCCTCTGCCAGAAAACAGAGCTCCTGCTCAGCCGGAGCTCTGCTTCCTGACTCTGACCAGGTCATAAAGCTCCCGCAGACTTTCTGAGAGGAGGGGTGTGTGCAGGTTTGCAGTAAAGCCCAGGATTTGCCATTTGCTTTCTGCAGTGGTAGCTTTGATCACCATGAGGAATGGCCACATTTCTCCTGTGATCACTGGCTTTTATGGGCCTGACGTGCGTTATTAATGGCGGCTGGTGTCATCATTAGACTGCTCTATCAACAGGAACCGTTTCAGCCGTTTGACAAATGGACTGGATGAGGCTGAGTGATACTTCTTCAGAAGTCGAAGCTCCTTTAAGTCATTTTAAAGTCATTTAGAAATGCCTGTCCTGCTCTCTCCAGTGAGCCGTTGGACAGATTGCTACTATCTCTAATAACCAGCTCACTCACACACTGGTCCGGCTTGGATTGCTACTAATGTCTCGCTGTGTGCCTCTTCTCCCACCCGCTGCCGCCCCGCCTTTCTAAAATGCCCTAAAGATGGCACACCTGGTAAAAGTGATGGTAAGGCCTGTCTGTGTGTGGTTTGTTTGGTCGGATGCCTCTAGCTTACATGTTACGTCCTCTCTTCATGTGTCCTCTCTCTCCCTCCCAGTGGTCTGTAGATCTCTGCATGGACTGTCTGCATGGATGTCGTGACCTAACTCTGAACCCACCCCCCCTGTTAGCACCCACTGCTCAGATCCAGCTGGGTTTCCCATCCCTTCTCTCCACAGGGCTGCGTTTAGCTGGCACCACACCCTGGTTATCCTCAGTCTGGGTGGAGAGTGGAGGACACCTGGGGTGGCTCTGTTTGCATCTCCCAGACCTGAGCTCCCATTTCCAGGCCACACCTTCCTCCTTTAAAGCAGAGTTCAGAGCTGTGGGGGTAGTTCACCAGTTAGGGACAGCCTGATAATCTGTTGTTATAATGCCATTGTGCACCTGGAGATGAGCTATTTTTAGACTGTAGTACCATATAGTCCTTATCAATGCCACACCAGGTATGTTGCATCAGTTTTTTAGGTGTCTTTTATCTCCCACTTACTTCTTTATCTCTGCCTTTTATGATCGGCCTTCAGCTGTGAAGACGCTTGGAAGCTTTCCATAATGATGGCCTCACATTTGCCCAGAGTTAATATTAGACTGGGAAGCACATGGACTGTCTTATGGGATCCATTAGGGGTCAAACATGGTGCTGTCCAGCTTCTGGTTTGTTTATACTGAGGGGAAAAAGTAGCTTAAAGGCTCAAAGGGAAGACGCTAACAGAACCATCGTCTCTGCCCTCCAGATCTTCCTCTTGGTCTGGTAATATTTTCATAAAACAGCACTTCCAAAATGAAATAGCCGTTTTTGTAATGATGGTTTTAATAGGACTTTTCCATCCAGACGGATCTTAAATGCTGGAGCACATGGAGGCATCGTCTTGAAGCCGGTAGAGACTCAAATGAGTGTGTAATCAGTCTTTTTTCCATCTGTCCCTTTGCAGTAATACAAACTCTACTCTGGCAGAAACATAGCTGATTTTTTGGGGTGTTTTTTTTTTATGTGTGTCAGGTTTCCCCCCTGTCTGTGTCCAGGTTGTCCTCATTCTGTCCCCACAGACTCTGTCCCCTCCCTGTCCAGGCTTAGGGTCACGGTTAAGGCATCAGTCCAGCTGCTGACTCCCTCTGCTACCCCCCCCCCCTCCTGTCTCTCTTCATCTGCAGGCCGAGTTCGCACACGAAGGCAAAGCTCCGGCAGCGTGGGGGGAGCCAGCCCGTCCGTGGTGGACAGCAGGGGGCGAAGCCGGGCCAAAGTGGTGTCCCAGTCCCAGCGTACGTACACAGCCTCCAGCTGGGGGCCTCACAGCGCCTCTCCTCTGTGTGTGTTGTTAGATCTGTGTTTCCAGAATACAGTCAACCCTCGTTTTTCACTCCAAAAAGAACCCATTAACAATTTTTGTACAATGAAATACTTCATAATACATTGAAACTAAAGAACAAAACCTTTTTACAGGCCCAGGCATTTCTTTAACAAATAAAAGTACTGCATAAACGTTTTTTTTTTTTTACAAATAACTACTGTACTGTATAATAGTCATTTTATTCATCAATACGAACTGAAGGCTTCCCGTCCTTACTAAACATATTGCTGCTGTCTAAATGCAGCTTTAAGAGCCCCAAAAACAGCTTTTTAGCCCCCAAAATTGCTTTTAAGACCACAAAAACTGCTTTAAAAGCCACAAAATGTCTTTAAAACCCCAAAACAGCTCCAGAGAGCTGATTGTCATATTGATGATAGCTGGAACATTTGGTCTGCTTTGTCAGTCGCTCTGGATAAAAGCGTCTAGATGCATAAACAGAAACATAAACATAATTCTGTAATGGCGACCTACAGCTGCATAGCTTCTACCTTACTTTATGTCCAGAAGTTTAACTCTTTCTGCAATAGTCAGCGTCTTCCTGCCTTTTGGTGCCTTTGTGGGTGCACAACGTCTTGTTGACATTATGGGTTTTAGAGAAACTTGAAATTGGAAGAGAGTTTGCAAACTTAAATTCGGCGAGCTGTTTTACGTACGCGTACCGTATTTCCCCTATATAAGGCGCACCGCATTATAAGGCTCACAGAGCAGAAGCTCCAGTAGAGGCTGGGGCTGCGTTAGCATCCACCAGAAGCAACTACGCTAAAGGGAAGGTCAGCTAACAGTCAGATAATCAGTCAGACTTTATTAACAGACACAAACCAACCCCCAGAATGAATAAACAGCTCTTTAGTATTTAACAGCTAATGTCAGTGACCTAGTGTTTTAGGGACACAGTTTATCTTTAAACTACAACAATGTTTAACAGATAGAGCAGCATTTTTATCAGGTAGTGGAGGGAACCTTTCCTCCATTCAGTAAATAAATTAACCAGTCTGATACGTTACCGTGAATCAAACGTTAGCGCATCACAATATATAGCAGCTAGCTTAAAGCTGACCAGCTTTTCCCGTTAAAAACAAACAAAACCGCCGGTATAGAATTATTTGAACTAGCTGTTGTCGTAATTAGGATCAGATTCGACGTTTCCCTTTAATGTAAACACTTTTTTTAAACAGCCTCCTTCTCTCACTGCGTCCACTTTTAAAATGGAGACTTTCCGGATCAATAAATAAGGCTTTTAGGTGCCTTATAGAGCGGGTGTTAGCGTTATTGACACACAGGTAGAGAAGAAGCGGAGAGACTGTTCAGCCAATCAGAAAACAGAACACAAAGCACGATGCAAAGGTGAAAGGTGGCGAGGGTTCACTGTACTGGGAAAAGGGGCTCATTGTGTGTGTGTGTGTGTGTGTGCATGCGTTGTGTGACCATATGAGTGGCGTCTCTCTCTCCGAGAGAGAGGAGGCTCTCACTGCCACTCAGAGAGCATGCTGGGTACAAATCAATCAACATGTTCCCCACTGTCTCATTTTGACCGATCTTGATTTCCACCCTGTCCTGCCTATTGCCTCCATCACTCAGGATCCAGATCAGCCAATCCCATCAGTGGTAAGGCGTCAGCTTCATCCAGTCAGAGACAGCCTCATCCCTGTGTCTGCCCTAAAGCACACCACCCTCTGCATGCCTCCCGTTTTAGAGCTCAGCCTTCAGAGCAGCATGTTTGTGGGTTATTCCCCCCCTCAGTGTCATGTTGTCTGTGGTAGCTTCCTTTAGCTGTGGTTAGCCGCAGGTAGCTGTAACCCTTAGTTAGATCTAGGGACGTCCCCATCCAGCCTTTTGATCCTCCGATCCGATCCCGGCCTATCAGAGCATGTCCTAAAGTTATTTATCTTCTTCCTTATTGTCAGACTCCTGTTGAACAGGGATTTACTCTGATAACAACTAGCAGCTGAGTTAGGGGAGTCTGAATAACACACACTGGTTGGTAAAGAGACACTGAGCTGTTTATTCAGGGACAAACACTAAATAGACCAAATTATAGATAACCAACGGAAATCAGTGAACAGTAAAAAGTGACAATAATGTTGTAAACTGTATTAAAAAGGCAAAACACACAAACACCCTGAATAAAAACTAGTTTATTAACTCAGCATTAGGAGTGGATTATTTTGTAAAACAACAACTGGATCTGGAGTCTGGATCTGTGTTTTCTCCTGCCGGCCGATACGTTTTTTTTTTACGAATATCGCGGCCGTTTGGATCCAGATATGAGATTGGGACCAGCCTAGGTAAAACAGGGATCCAGGTCCTGTGTGACGTCTGTGTTTGACTGTGGTGAGCTGCAGTTTACAGTGAGAACGAGCCGTTACCCTCCAAATGAAGGGAAACCCCGTTAGCCCCTCTGTGTTTCTGCACTACCCCACAGCTGTGTGTCCCCAAAGAGGATGCTAGCGGTCAGTCTGCTGGTGTAAAGTGTCTTCTGTCCCTTGTGCCCAACAGCCGGCAGTCGCTCCAGCTCCCCGGGGAAGCTGCTGGGCCAGGGCAGCTACGGCCGGATCCCCAGGGCCCCGCCGGCAGCGGCCCCCAGCACCCCGGCCGACCGCCGCAGCCGGATCCCCCGCAGCCAGGGCTGCAGCCGGGAGACCAGCCCCAGCCGGCTGGGCCTCGGTAAGGACGCCACGCCCCCGTCCTCTGGGGAGTCCCAGTCAAAGAAACATACATGACAGAATTCGCCCCCATACGTACTCAGTGTGAAAGACATGGCATTTGCAGGTATTAACAGTAAATCATCCGCTAATAGCAGTATTAGCAGTAAAAC